GTAGTAGTAGTAGTAGTAGTAGTAGTAGAATTGCTACCTAGAATGGTTTTAAAATGGCAGTCGCAAGATTACTTTTAAAACTGAATAGAGTATACAGGCAAGCAGGAAAGGAAAACCAGCTACAACCTCCTGCCATTTCAGATGTTTCAGCTCCAGCTCTAATACCAGAAGTAAGCCAGGCTTTGGGGAAATATCTGAAAATATCCAGATGTGCTTAGATAAGTGGGAAAATAGAGTTTGGGGTCTCTCCACTATGTGCTAAATCTGATTTCACATACACACACTATGTATACATATATGTGTCTTACTTCACATTTTTGCTATTCCTCTTATTCATTATGTCTTTAGTCTTGGAAAATGTATGACCATATTGCTGTTTTTTTCAGGTTGCCTGAACCTCAGCAGAGAGTTGGAGGTTGCTTTCTAAATTTGATGCCACAGATGAAAAATCTGTACCTTGCATACTGTGCCAACCACCCATCCGCGGTGACTGTTCTCACAGAACACAGGTATGTGCATTAACAAACAAAAGAAAAAATGGAAATGTTTGGGAACTTGTCTAATTTTCTCCCTCTTTGGTTTGGAAAAATAGTGCCAAGTCTGTTGCTTCACTTAATGACAACAATACAATCTGAGATGTTCTGTAAATCACAGGTGATGGTATGTCCTGTCAAGTTATTTCCAACTTAATGCAACTCTAGCAGGGTTTTCATGTTGTGTGAGATGCACTTTTTTTTAATGGAACGACTTACATTTGCCAGCTTCTTCAGTTAATTTCCATAGCCAGGTTGGTATTTGAACCCAGATCTGAAGTCCTAGGACCTAAGCCAACATCCTTCACTACATCACACTGGCTGTTGTAGGTGACAGGGCTGACTATTAAAATGAAGTCACAGTACGCATGATCTTCTTTATAGAAATCATTTTTGTTTTCACTGGAGGACTTGAAAATAAGCATTGCTGTTTTAAACATGAAGCCTGATCCTGTGTTACACAAGGATAAGTCCCAATGGTTTTGATTTCTAATTCCGGCCTTACATGGAATTGCCGCCTGTAGAGGTACTGTGCTATGTGTGTTTACCCAGAGTTCTGCTAGTTTATAAGAAAGATCTTTCTGATAAGTGTTCCTTTCTCACAATGGCGAACCAGATCTTTAAGAAAAGCCTGTAAGTGGGACATGAGGAGAACACAATCCGAAAGAGCTTCCATACTCCCATCACATCCTTCTGGAAATAGGTTCAAAGAATAAGGAATAAATTGATGGGACATCCTTCAGTTTTATGTTCTCCCGCACCTGGTATTCAGAGGCATACTTATGCTTAGAGGCTGTGTAACTGTTTGCTATGCGGAGTATTTTGTCTGTCCCTTGTCACCCATCAGTTTTGTTCTATGGACGTGTAAGATGTCACTTTGAATTGCCTTTGGAAATAGGATAGTTTGGAGTTTCCATACATCCCTCTCATCTTTTCAGAAAGCACTTCAAAGATTACAGAAATAATTGATGGAATTCATTGCTATGAGGTAGGATAATTAGTAGCTGAGAGGGATGTTAAAGGAGACTTGTGAAATCCTTAGAGCAGTGGTTCTCAACCTTTGGTCCTCCAGATGTTTTGGCCTTCAACTCAAAGACGTTTAGCCCAATGTGACCATTGGTCAGGGACTCTGGAAGTTGAAATCCAAAATGGCTAAAGAGCTGAATCATGAGAACCAGTTCTGTAGGATAAGATCTATTGGTCATTTTGTCTTGTTTACTCATATACGGTTATACCAAGACCAGATTGTTGAAATGTACTCTATGCAGGGCTGCCTCTTAAGGCATTTCTGAAATTTCAGTAGAAGAGAGTGTCAGGAATCTTGGTAGGTGCCAGGTTTTTGTACTGTCTTTAAACCATTACCTGCAATGGTGTTGGAAGGGGCTTACTTACAGTGGGGTCTCTACTTAAGAACTTAATCCGTATTGGAAGGTGGTTCTCAAGTTGAAAAGTTCTTATGTTGAATCTGCATTTCCCATAGGAATGCATTGAAAACCATTTAATCCGTATCTGCTCTTTTCTGTCCATAGAAACTACAGTGGAACCTCTACTTAAGAACTTAATCCGTTTTGGAATGGTGTTCTTAAGTTGAAACGTTCTTAAGTTGAAGCAAAATTTCCCATAGGAATGGACTGAAAACCAATTAATCCGTTCTGGCTGTTTTTTTTGTTATGTAGAGGTGCGTTCGTACATTGAAGCATTAGTTCCCATAGGAACTAATGCAAAGCTGGTTAATATGTACTCTACCACTAGGGGGAGATTTTTTTTTAACCTAAGATGACCATTGTTGAAATGTACTCTATGCAGGGCTGCCTCTTAAGGCAGTTCTGAAATTTCAGTAGAAGAGAGTGTCAGGAATCTTGGTAGGTGCCAGGTTTTTGTACTGTCTTTACACCATTACCTGCAATGGTGTTGGAAGGGACTTACTTACTTACTTACTTGCTTACTTACAGGCATAAATGAAAAGCCGTAACTCTCTGCAGCAACTTGTCAATAGTTAGAGTAGATACTTAACTCTCCTCGTCTTGCTGGACAATGAAAGATATGGGTTGTATTTCTGTAACTAGTAAGATCTCTGCCATTTGAATTCTGCAATTGTTTGTAAGTAATACAGAATTCTGACCTATATCAGAATATGAATGAGACAGACACTTTGCAGAAGGCACACAAGTAGTGTTTAGGAAAAGGCATTCCTCTTCAGAAAATATGACGGGCACTTGTAATTCTTGTAAAGTCTTGTAGGTAACATTCTTGTAGCTGCCTTTAATTAGAATAAAGCAGTCAGGAGTAGGCTTGAAGATCATTCTTTCCCTCCCCAACCCTAACCGCAGTCAGGAGTAGGCTTGAAGATCATTCGTTCCCTCCCCAACCCTAACCCTATCTCACTCCTGCCCTGATCTGTGATGCTAAATCCAGGAAAATCCTATGTTAAGAGTGAGTTCTGCTTAATATTGGCTTGGTTAATAGTCAAAGGTGTACCTGTGATAGTGCATTGCCCTGAAAACACAAAAGGTTCCTGTGGAACCTTTAGGACTAAAAACTTAAATTATTTGTGGACCGTAGCCCACTTTGTTATTCAGAATTTTTGTCATTCAGAATTTCAGTTATGTGTACAGTTCACATGACTGGAGATGGGTGATGAATAGGGGTGGACTCAAACCACCGAGCCAGCGGTTTCTGTCTATTTGTATTTTGGCCGAACTGTGTTCAGAGCTTCCCAGCCCTGCCTCCTTTGGCAGGCACCCACTTAGAGACAGCCCCCTGCCCTCCCTCCTCCGGGAGCTGCCTCTGAGTGGGTACCTGTTGAAAAATGAACCAGCACAAACTGACGGTTAGGTGGTTCATGCCCATCTCTAGTGATAAACCGGTTTTATCCTGCATGCTTCAAGTTAGCCTTTCTGTATATAGAAAAGAAGATTTAATAACACTTATTTTTAAAAAAAGCATAATTTGCATAATGTTAGATACAACAGGTAGAACTTAATTTGAGATAACTTTATTGCATTGATTGATATTATTTTTAACAGCATCAAGTTTCATAATGTGGAGCTTGTGCTTTCAAAAAGTGTACTTGTGGGAGATAACTGGAGCACAGAATACAGATAAGAATCTGAGTCAGAGAACCTTTTGTCCCTCCTCCACTTTGTTTCCCAAGGGCTGCTAACATAGTGGGTGATGTCATACTTGAAGCAACAGCCCAAGAATAAGGCATTCTATCTAGAAATGCTGCAGAAGAGACTGTAAAAGGCTTAGAGTCATTAAAGGAGCCAAGGTTTTGGTGGAGAGTTTTCAGCATGCATTGTCTGTGTGACATCTTTAGACCTTTCAGCAGTGAGAGTTCATGTGCCGGCTATCGTAGGCAGGAATTGGAAGTGTAAGTTCCACCTTTAAATGTTTTTCACTCACTTGTGCATTGTAAGCTGACTCTTTTTCTGCTGTTCACCTGGCTGTAGGTATTTTGGGTTTTATCATATTCTTCCTAGTTTGTAGTGCATTTATTTATGAAAATATTGTTGGAGAGACCATTTGTGACTTCCACTTTAATGTATTGCAAAATCTAAATAAGTCTGTTTAATACACAAATCTTGGGAGTAGTAAATTATTAGGCAAATCTTTATAGTAGATGCTTACTCCATATATCATCTCTCTCAATGTTGGCTGGGATAATAATAGCTTGTCTTTTTTAAAAAATAAATAACAATTGTTATGGTAATTGTCACTATCTGTCTTTAGTATTTTGGAAGGCTACTCTTTGTTCCTTAATGAAATGGTTGTCTGTTGAATATCTCATTTTTACTTCCTTCCTGTGTACTATTTCAGTTAAATAAAGAGATTTCGTGTGCAATGTTTTGTAGTCCTTCAGCTATTATAAAGAACTAGTGTATTGTCAAATCAGCTGTAATTATCTTGAATTAACCAAACTGATGTTATAGCTGCAGTGCTCTGAAGAAGTAGTTAGATGTAAACTCTAGATAGTTAATAAAGTTCAAGTTTTTCATTAAGCAAAATTATTTAATCTACAGACAATTATTAAATGCTTTCTTAGTGTCTGGCTCCTTGTGGTAAGTACAACAGAATTCGGCTTTGTACGTCCAGTCTCTTAAATATGTAAAAAACAGTTTGCTGTGTACATCTTTTAGACACAGAGTTAGTGTTTTTTATTGGTGGCAGTATGAACCATTTTATGTTCCTGAAGGCATAAGAAAAACACACTAATTTCACATTTGTAATGGAGACCATGTTCTGGAAAATTGTTTCCATTTCATTCACTGAAGAGGAGGCAGGAGGAGTATGTTGGACTCTCTTGCCCATATGGTCATTTGCATGGAGCATTATCTTCTGTGCTTCTCTTCACCACAGAGAGAGTAGCTACTTCATTTTTCTTAAGTAGCTCTGTGTATATTTCCCTTCATTGTTTGGACAGAAGATAATAATGAAGCTGAACCCAGCAGGGGAAAATTTTAGTGTGCTGTTATGCAACTTCACTGGACTAATGTCCTTGCAGAGGAAGAAGAGTATAGTCCTGGATATCGCTAACAGTTTTCTTTTTATACTGTCCAGAAGAAGTAGCAGCAGTAGTAAGGACTTGTTCTGTTAATTGCCCTTCAGACACTTTGAAGAAAGTGATTGTTGGGGCAAGCATTTCTGTTTTGTAATTCTTGGTGAAACAGACAGGACAGTTTGGTTCTGCTGGTTGAATTTTTCTTTCTGGTATGCTAACAACATAAATAAGGCAGTGTGCAAATATGTAGGTAGATAAGACTTCCTTTCAGAGAAATGGTGGGCATCAGTACTGAAAAGTGTGAGGGGGAAGGACCAGGGCCAGCACTTTGTAAGCATTCTTTCTATTGTGCTAGAGTGGACCAAATAGTTGCAAGAAACTTTGAGGCTGCATGAATGAAAAGTGGCCTTTGTGTTTCTTCTTGAAAATGGACTAACATCTGTGTTATTAAACTGGCCTAGTGTTCAGTTCATTTGTGTATATGCATAATATAGGTGTATAAACTATATCTTATTTCACCCTTCTGTGTTAATGTATACTCAGGGCAGCTTGCATGAGAACAATGAAATCCCGCAAGACTAGGTCCAAAGTTGTTAGTCCCAACTAGAGTAAGTCTATGGAATCAGTTGAACTTACATAAGTGTTGACTTACTCTTTACCAAGTTCTCATTGATTCAGTGGTTTTATTCTGTTGGGACAAACAACTGGAATTAGGCTATAAAAACCAGCACAAAGAATCAGCAATAAAATAAAAACAGCAATTGCTTTAAATAATATGTATATAAAGATCCAGATCATGAAAATGTCACCTGGAATAAGACCATTTTCAAAAACTGCTTAAAAGTCTGGATGCTCATTTTAAAGTGTAACTGATGACTTTTTGTTAGAGCTTGTCTGTAGAGGCTCACTTGGATGCCAGTGAAATAGGTTCACTTAAGGTTAGGTGGAAGTCTGGTATGCCATTTTGGTGCAATCCTTGCATCCAAATGGCACTTCTCCCCCCCAAAATAACCCTGTTTTGTCTGGCTCCTTTAAGAAAGCAAGAGAAAAGAAAAATATCTTTATCGTTGTTCCATAATTAAAAGTGTTTACATATAGTCTCAATCATGTAATTGTGTTGAACACTATTACTTGCTGGAGATGTTAATAATGTACTTGTTAACAATATTTGCTTGAATGACTTTATGTGGAATGTTTTGCTTATTTAGAATACTACAATTCTTATCCACTTGATTTAGGAGAAGAACACTATGCTCGAGGATCAGGTTTTCAATTTAAGAACTTTTACTTAAAAACTAGTTTCTTCCTATATAATTTTTCTGGTTCAGGCTTTTCTCAAAATAACCTGTTATTGAAGAGCTAGAATAATTTATTTATTTTTCTTTTGTTTGACTGATTTTAGGGTTTTGAGTTTTTTTGTTAATATTTGTTTTGTTTTGTTTTTTGGGTGAATTTCTGAACAGTGAAGAATTAGGAGAATTCATGGAGATGAAAGGAGCCAACAGTCCTGGGATTCTTGTGTTGACAACGGGCCTGAGCAAGCCTTTTATGCGCCTGGATAAATATCCCACATTACTTAAAGAACTTGAAAGGCACATGGAGGTATATTATATTGGCATTTATATTTTCACCATAGTGATGGTTTGACACCAGTTAAAGGGGCATTTTGAAGATGATGGATCCCAAAGTATATTTCTGTCATTCTTCTCATATGAGAGAAATAGAAGCATGAGAAGCTTGAGTGCATTAGATATTGTGGATTGAGTTTGTCTTCTCCAGGCACATAATGCTGATGGAGTGCCACATTTTTTAAGGATTTGTAGCCCCTGGTGCACTTTGCTCCAAACTCCTGGGAGGTTCTCAAGGATCTGTCCTATGGAATAGGTATTTTATAGTCCAAACCCTGAGAAGCTTGAGTGCATTAGATATTGTGGATTGAGTTTGTCTTCTCCAGGCACATAATGCTGATGGAGTGCCACATTTTTTAAGGATTTGTAGCCCCTGGTGCACTTTGCTCCAAACTCCTGGGAGGTTCCCAGGGATCTGTCCTATGGAATAGGTATTTTATAGTCCAAACCCTAAGTCGAAATGTTCGTATGTCGAGCCGTTTGTAAGTCGAGACCCCACTGTAGGTATTTTATAGTCCAAACCGTTAGTAACTCCAGAAATGTAAAGCTAGGTTTCATATACAAAGAGTATTTCCAGGAATATGCAAGGATTTGCACATGCATGAAAATTGAGAATGTAGGTTATTATTTTTAAATCTTTATTCTCTGTCTCAAGTTCAAGACCCTGTCTTAACAGTTTTCTAAGCTGAGGAAGAGTTTGTTGGATAAACAAGCTCCAGAGGAGATTGAAGAGCTCTGTTGCACCTGCTGCTCAACTAGTTCAGTTTCCAACTTGCTTATATGGAAGCTTGTTTATTCTAATAATAACTTGTTCATTCAGAGAGTTTCTCTATTAGATTTTTCCATGTTTGTTATAGCTATTTTCATATTAAGAGAGCATTCAACAACAATTTTGAAGAATAAATAATTCATCTGACATATACTGTGTCTCACGCCCCTACTACGAAATATTGTTTAAGAGCTCAAATAGTATATACAGCCAGGTGGACATCTTAGTTTTCATTTTGCATCTTAATGAGTAATGAGAATGTGTTAATCTGGCTAGATTAATTTTATCCTAATTATAATTTCTGCTCCGGGTGAACTTCCTAGTAGTGTACTATACTGAAATAGCAGCAGGATTATCCAAAATGTTGCTGTTATCAAGAGAAGAGATTTTTATGGGAACAAGATCCATACTTATGATGCCTGATCTAAATGTTGCTCTAAAGCTGTGTAGCTCTGAAAAAGTGTCTTCGTAGTTTAATCGAATAGTAAAAGCACAGATTTTAATTCCAGGTGAGATCACAGTGCAGTTTTTCTTTGCCTTTAGGATTATCATCCAGATCGGCCAGATATTCAGAAATCCATGACAGCCTTCAAAAACCTATCAGTAAGTAATTCATGGAATAAAAGGTATCCAAAATAGAGTACAATAGTTTAAACAATATATGAAACAAGCATACAAGGTCACTATCAATGTTGCCACTGAGCTCCTGCATCATTATATATAGTAAGAAAGACCAGAATGGCTGGAATTCAGTTATTTGAAACTTCTGCAGTTGTCTGAAACAGAAGGCCCAGACATACTACTGAACAAATGTTATCTTTATTAGCACACTTGTGCCTGCACACAATTTGATCATATATTCTTGTGCTTTAACAGGCACAGTGTCAAGAAGTACGGAAAAGAAAGGAACTTGAACTCCAAATACTAACAGAAGCCATCCGCTGCTGGGAAGGGGAGGACATTAAAACCCTGGGAAATGTTATTTACATGTCACAAGTCATGATTCAGTGCGCTGGCAGTGAGGTATGGCATTTTGCTTTTTCTGTATCTTATTCAAATTGCTTGCATGAAATTTATTTTGTCAGTTGTGTAATCAGGTGAAATGCAGTACAATGTACTATTTTGTATTTTATCATCTCTAAGAAGTATCTCTTATTTATTTTATTTATGTATTTATTTAGTATCTTGTAGACCATCTTTCTCCCAATGAGGGGATTCAAAGTGGTTCACAATATTAAAACAAGTAGAATTAAAACACATATAATTATGCATTAAAGAGGAATTAAACCATAATAATGAAACATTCATTAAATGATTAAAAACATTAAAAACTTTAAATACAAAGTATTCACAAAGGTTTTCATGGCCAGGATCTAATGGTTGTTGTGGGTTTTTCAGGCTCTTCGGCGGTGGTTCTGAAGGATGTTCTTCCTAATGTTTCGCCAGTCTCTGTGGCCGGCATCTTCATAGGACAGCACATAGTGAACAACCTTCAGAACACGGCCAAAGAGCCCGAAAAACCCACAACAACCATTTAAATACAAACTTACTAAGCTAAAAACCAGCATGTAGAACACAATTATTAAAAGCCTGTCTGAAAAGATGGGTCTCAGTTGTTGTTGGAAGTACTGTATAAAAGGGAGCGGACCAATGTAATCCCCCACCTGGGAGCTGCCACAGAGAAAGCCCTCTCTTTTGTCCCCATCAATCATACCTGTGATGGCAATGGGACCAAGAGGAGGGCTCTTGCTGAAGATCTTATAAACCAAGAAAGCTCATATGGGCAGATACTGTACAGTCCTTCAGATAGCCTGGATACAAGTTGTATAGGGCTTTATAACTTGCACTTTAAATTGGGCCAGGAAATGGACTCGTAGCCAATGCAGTAGTTGTTGCAGGGGCATTATATGCTTCTTATTACTGGCCCCAGTCAGCAGTCTGGTTGTTGTATTTTGAACAAAATCTGTCTCTTTCATTAATTTTTAAAACTCTCTCTTCTTTATTGTTACTTGTGCAATGGTGGCTTCTCCACTAAGCTAGTGGAGTGCCTCATCCCAAACTGTTAGACGAGGCTGTCTTCTTGGTCTGTGAAACACCTGTGTACCTGTCAAAGAGAAAGGACAAATCTGCCAAAAAAGTTGCTAAAGAATTATGCAGAAGAAGAAAAAAACATATTTTCAGAATAACTATTCTAACTTGACCTTAATCGCTCCCAATTAAGTCAAGTGCCATATTCACTTTAGCATATTTGAGGGCAGAGTTGAAGAACTCCTGTGTTGATGCATTCTTAGTTTGTCTAAGAAGAGGTTCTCAATCTTTGTCATGAATATAAAGTATTTTGTATGCATGCTGTCAATTTGGAACTAATTTACAGTGACCCCAATAGGGGCTTTCAAGGTAAGTGAGATATTTAAGGAGTGGTTTTACCACTTCTGCTCTCCTAGTGACTTTCCATGGCCAAGTGGAGATTTGAACCCTGGTCTCTAGAGTTCTAGTCTGTCATTCTATCCATCACACCACATTGGCCCCATAAAGTATTTTAGGAGATATTTATTGAAATTACAACCCTGTTTGAAAGAAAACCCAGGCCTGCTGGTTTTTGTCTGTTAGTAAGGAATAAAACAAATTGTTACTTTATAGCTCACTAATTTCTTCCCTTTATTTCTTTTTCATAAGGAAAAGAACGAAAGATATCTCCTTCTCTTTCCCAACATTTTACTCATGTTATCTGCCAGCCCTAGGATGAGTGGTTTTATCTATCAGGTAAATGGAACTTTAATATAATTTCATTCAAGTGTCCTGTTTAAATTGGGTTGGATCCAGACAGACAATCCAATCCATTTTCAAAGCTATGCCAACTGTTGTGGCTCTGGAATGGGCAAAAGCATTTTGTGCTGGCACATCTGCCCTAGTCCTGAGGAATCTCAGATCGACAGGCACAATTGAATCTGCTATGCTGGCTGAGATCAGTTAGCAGAAGAGCTAGAAAAGCAGAGCAGATGAAGAACTGAGTTTTGTCAGATCCATAGAAGCTCTCTTGAGACTCTCTCAGCCCAGTCTCACATCTACAACCTCAACACAAAATCAAGTCAGGGTCAGGGTAGCCTTAAAGAGTTTCCAGTAACTATAGGTTGGGAGGCGTTTGGATTCAGCACAGCCTTAGTTGGCCCCTTGTCATTCAATCAGCCCTCAACTATATAATAATAATAATAATAGTAATAATACTCTTAGAACGGCAGAGCTGGAAGGAACCTATGGATCATCAAGTTCAGCCGCTGTTAAGGAGGCACGGTGAAGCATCAAACTCCCAATTTTGGGCGCTGCAGCCAGAGACCTAAACCACTGAGCTATCCAGTTATCTTAGATAGGAATATGTGCAAAGTCACATTTAAAGAGAGAGTGTGTATGTGCGTCTGTGCATGCATGTGCACAAGTTAAGTCAATTCTGACTTATGGCAACCCTTTCCATGGTTTTCCAGGTAGAGAATATTCAGAAGTGCTTTATCCTTCTTCTGGGAGTGCCCTGGGATTGTGCAGCTTGCCCAAGGCCACACATGCTGGCTCTATTCACAGGAGGTACAGTGAGGAATCAAACTCAGAAGCTCTGAAGTCAGATACCTAAACCACTGAGCTATCCAGCCGGCTTACACTTAAAGTAGACACACTATTTCTTGAATCTCAATAGGTCTTCTCTAAGTTTAGGTCCAGCTCATTATCTGCCAGCCAGTGAACCTGTAAAGGTTGTGCTTAAGTGCTGTGTTATCTGTAAATACTCTCAGAATGATAAAAGGAAGTGGGCCTGTGAATAAATCCTAAATTTGAAGGGCCTTCCTTCAAGACGATTCAGATTGTTTCTTAAATTTTTGGGGGGGAAAAATCCATCTCGTTTTTTAAAAAAGATTCCTTTGTGTATATATGTCGTAGTGATTTGATATATCTATTTTAAGGGGAAACTGCCACTAACAGGGATGAGTATTGCGAAGCTAGAAGACAATGAAAATCACAGAAATGCATTTGAAATATCAGGTAATGTTTTTTATGTTCCTCTCTGCCTCTGAATATTGCATGTTATACATCCAACAATGAGACGAGAAGAACATATGTTCTGCCTCTAAACAAAGCTTGGGAACATATGGTTCTCTAGATCAGAGGTCCTCAAACTTTTTAAACCGGGCCAGTTCACTGTCCCTCAGACCATTGGAGGGCCAGACTGTAGTAAAAACAAAAACTATGAACAAATTCCTATGCACACTGCATATATCTTATTTTGAAGAAACAAAACGGGAACAAATACAATATTTAAAAT